GCCCTGCATGGCTGGTTGAGTGACTATATACATACATCATCTAAACCGCTTATCCTTCTGGGTTGCGGTAGGGTGCTGGAGCCAGCTGTCATTGGGCGGAAGGCAGAATACACCCTGGACAGGTCGCCAGTCCATCGCAGGGCAGAAAGACAGACATACACAGTCACACACTCACTCACACCTAGGGGCAATTTAGCATGTCCAATCAGCCTGACTGCATGTTTTTTTTGGACTGTGGGAGGAAACCGGAGTACCCGGAGGAAACCCACGCAGACACGGGGAGAACATGCAAACTCCACACAGAAATGACCCTAGTCGCCCGGCCGGGAATCAAACCCAGGCCATTCTTGCTGTGAGGCGACAGCGCTGCCCACTGCGCCACCGTGCCGCCCGTGACTATATACAGTCATATACAAAAGTTTGAACACCCTTGGTCCAGTGTTTTGTTATTTTTCTAAGTGAAAATAAATTGACCTATCCTCTACAGGGAACAAACACAATGGTATTTTCTCCTAGTTTTAATACACAATTTCTATTTATCTAGTTAATTTAGTTCTTTAAGTTTAACATATTGGAAAAAGTTAACATAATATGTACCATAACTTTTACATAGGCCACATTTATTTACACAATTTATTTTAAATAAACAGTGATTGTGCATTAAAATATGACAAGGAGTGTTCCCACAAGAGGATATGTGTATATTTTCACTTAGAAAATAAAACTTCACTTAATATAAACAATATATTAATAAACAAATATTGTAAACAATATAAACAATATATATATATATATATATATATATATATATATATATATATATATATATATATAAATAAATAATATTGTACTTTACCCATTTGAAAATGACTATACTAGACAATTAGACTAATGAATTCAAAGTGGAAATTGATATATTTGTAATTTATTTACATTTTATGATGTTAAAGAGCAAATATTGCATTATTTAGGCATACCATGATGCATTCATGTAGCTTAGCCCTCTAGACACATGAGGTAATACAGAAGTCATCATTTTTGAGGTTGAGCATTGAAGAGGGAGTATTGTTTTCTGAATGGCAGAAATGGTAAAGGTTATGCATATATTTCTTTCCTCATGTCAGTGCCCTGTCACTTTGGACAAGATGTAGAGGCTTGAGGTCACAAAGTCCACCTGACCTACTGGAACGAAGGCACCTGAGATCTGTGTGTATAATCCCTCTCTATTCCAAGGGGTCTAAGGGCAGGTCAACATCACACATGTTCTCCACATCTCAAGAGGGCAATCAGTTATAATCTGTTGATGTTCAGTCCCCAGTCCACATCTATTCTGTTTTTGTAGTGCAATATTGATCTTTCTCTTGAAGTCTGTGGTTGGTTTCTTCCAAATGTAGTAACCATATCCCACTGCCTATGCATCCACTCCTTTTGTAGAGCATGAAAGCACTGTCCTTACAAATGCAGTCTGTGATGTGGAATATATTTGCCTGTGTATATTGCAATTGCAAGGGTATGTGTTGAAATTTTTTTTGATGGAAAGGGGCAGATCAGAAGTTAGTGAGAAAGAGTGAAGTTTTCAGGAGTTGCTCTGAGCCTGAACTCTGTGTCTCCCCCCTGGCTGTTTTCTGTGCTCTTGGCTGAACAGAGTTCAAAAAGAACTCCCTCTCGACCTTGTTTGTTTGTCTTATTTGATCATTCTTCATCCTTTTTTCCTCTGCTCACTGTCTGTTCAGGCATGACAGCTAGCTGCTGCTGCTGTCTGCTTTAAAATTGGCTCAGGCTGAGGAGTTGCTGAATTGTATCCTGGATTTTTATTTACTTCCATGTCTATGTTGTTGCAAATGCAACTCATGGAACTTATTGACAATTTGTCTTAAAATGCATATTTAGTGTTTCTATTCTCTCTCTCATTTTAGTTTACAAATGTGTGTGTGTGTGTGTGTGTGTGTGTGTGTGTGTGTGTGTGTGTGTGTGTGTTGTTCTGGCGATGTTAAGGAGTGGTCATTGATTTCTCTTCTTTGATTTGGGCTCTTTCTGCCCTACTTCGCTCCATGTGTCTTAACCTCACACCACTACCTCCTGCGGCTGGTCAATATCTTGCTCTGCCGCAGCTCAATGTAGTCCAAGTTCCTCAGGTACCAATGCTCGGCCCACAGCAATTATCCTCATAACCCACCATTACTGTAGCTCTTTCTTCAACAGTGAGCCCCATGCTTGGTCTAAGAGGTCCTCCAACAGTAATTGTTATTTGAATCTCTTCAAACGCAGGGCAAGACCGCTTTTTAAACACACTTTTACTCCCAGAATGGGACTGGAATCAATGACGCCCTTAGACACCATCAAGCTCACAAATCAGGTGGCTTGTTGAAAATTTCTCCAAGGCGACAACTGTGCTTGTTCTTTGGTGTGGCATAAGTCTTGCTGGTTCTTTTACAAGCTGGGTGTTCATGTGAGTAATAGAGAGCTATTCACTCAAGTAAAACACATCAGTTTTATTGTGTGGCCCATGTTAGTAGTTTATGGTTCTTTCATGCTGATTTAACTTGGGAGCAACCCCTGGAATGAACTGACGCCTTCATATTATGCTCAAACTCCATGCCAGTACAGTCCATGTACTGTGATGGGAATGAGAGTTGATTTCCTCAATCCAATTTATTCATCTCTAGTTCTCTCCATGTTACTGTAGCTGTGCCTGCATTCTAAGATGGTGGAGGATGCACACAATCTCTCTGGTGCATATGAACTTTGATGCTCCATCACATAATTTGCGAGAACTCTGACACACTTGGACCATGTGAAAGCCTAACTAAATCAGAATGACAGCTACCGTCTATACCTTCCTCAACTGCAGCACAAACACCACAGGCAAGATGAGGCTCAGTAGGGATTTGTTGAAACAAATTTTTCTCAGCCACTGCATGCACCTCTGCATTCAAGAGGAAAGTAGAATATTTATTTTGTCATTTAAGATTAAGATGTGAAAAGTGTGTGAAAAATGGACCTGGTTCTGTCCACTTCCTGCTGTGGCACATTTGTGTTCTAGATTACCTCTGCTATAATCACAAGTTTATTGACATCTGTTTATGTGTCTAGCTCTGGACTTGAGAATTTCCTTTCATTTGCTTCAGCCCTTCTTATTTGCTCCCTTTCTTTCTTCTGCTCACCCTCTGTCTTTCTTTCTTTTATCCTCCCTGGTACTCACCACTTTAGTAATGTATAGCAACTAGTGAATGGCTGTTAAAGGCCCTGACCTTTAGGGGTGATGATTACGCCCTTCTCCTCACCTGCATGAGTGGCATTCCATGTACATCATCCCAGATGCTAGGGCTTTGTTCATGCAGCTGGTCTTCCTGCTTTACACTCTGGCCCGGATATGTGTATGCGAGAAGGCGCAAAATTTGCCCTAATGCAGACACTGAATGTGCTCACAATGCATCTAAAACAATGTTTAGTTATAATATTCATGTGAATTCTGTGACCTATACACAGCCCAGTAGTCAAAACACTTATGATGAAAAAAAATTCCTTTTATTGTACAAAAACTGTTTTGAGGGTGAATCTGTAGAAATATCTTTGACTGCTATTAAAATTCAGATGTTGCTATGGGAGTGTTGGGGGAATGTGACTTTAAAGCACATTCTATTAAACCTGTTTAACTACATAGGAGAACCACATTTACCTCATGTTACTATGTGCCCCACTCTCTCATACAGTAAATGTCCAAAAGTATCTATTGCTAAAACAGGTGTTTACTGCACACACAGCTTCTCCTTTAAGAAGCATTGCCAATAAACATTCTGGAGCAGCCACACATAAGCCTAAGGACACCATGCCTAGTACTTCCTCTTTAAATGTTGGCTAGAAGTGTATTAAGCTCCCTAGCATTGAGCTCTGAAGCAGAGGAATCGCATTCTTTCGAGTAATGGAGCACCATTTAATACCTTTCGGTTGGAGTGCTAGATGTGATTGAGAACAAATCATTCAAAATCAGTAAGTGACTTCACTAAAGCTCTTATGGAAAAATGCAATTAAATCCTCCAAGTACAATGTGCCTTCCCACAAGAGTAGAAGCTGTAGAAGGAAATGTCGGAAGAGCAGATGTATACAAACCTTTGGACATGTATGAGAAGGGGAAATCATTTTTGAAGTTCTTACAAGCATATGCCTCATAAACTGGTCTTGTGCACCACTTTTAAAGAAGAATACATCCTGTTTGTGTCTGAAACCTGGTGCAAAAGGCTAAGAGTGCATCTGGCCCTCTGTATTGGGTTTCAGTAGCTTTGGTCTGTCTTCAGTTCTTTTCTTCACAGCAGTGAAGATGTAGTGGCGTCTCACTCCTACTATTCATTTGGATTATCTGGATAAAATCTCAGTCTCAGTCTAGATCTGTCTGTATTCAAGATGAAATGAATAGACAGTACTTTTCTCCTAACCATTGCCTTAGTGACACAGTGGTGCATTCTGGGTAGTTTTGACTCTTGTGTGGCCAGTCACATAAGGGCCAGTGTGAGTTCACACTGCTGCTCTGGATGAATGGTTTTGAAAGGAAGTGAATGAACTGATGATCTGTTGTCAGAGCCTCTCTGAGCCTTCTCTCACCCCTTCTATTTGTGCTGTATTGATTTGGTGAACTACAGTGAGTTCACCTGGATGTCATAGCCTTTACCCTGCACAAGCATACAAGTATGTGTCTTCTTCAGGTAGGGCCTTCATTATTAAAGTGTTTTTTGCTTTCTACTACTTGAAACAAATGCTCTGGGCCTAATCCTTAGGGGACAACTATCAAGATTCAAAATACAAGGTTTTTATTTCCTTCATACAACAGGTGCTTGACAGGAATGCATACCAGTTGAAATCAATGTTTATGTGAGTTATGTTTGCCTAAACCTAAGTTTAATTCAAAGGACATGTTTTCCCCCCGATTTTCAAATTAATTCTCTCTCTCTCTCTCTTTCTCTCTCTCTCTTTCTTTTTTTTGTCTCTCTCACACACACACACAGAATCTGTTGGTGAATCGAGGATGAGGAGGACTCCAGCTTGTCAGCAGCTGTGCCACTCTGTTCCCTTTCTCTTATCAGTGTGCAGGCACTTAAGCACTGCTTAGTCGCCAGCATGCCTTCTTTTCTTTTCTGTTCCCTTACCATATAATCTTTCATTTTTAAGTTGCACTATTATGTACATGCCACATTTGACAGGGTATAATGAATACTTTTACCTGTAAGAAAACTGAGAGTGGGTTTTACAAATGCAAGTCTTGAATTTTATAAGTGCATACTCAGGAAATTCTGGCCATTTATTTATCAGGATTTACTCCATGTATTCTTATATATCCTCATATATAGACATCTGCTTAAAGCTTGCTGTGGTAGTGTCTTTTGTGAAATGTGACTGAAATCACAATTATATGAATGTGATAAGTCAATGGAGATAGAGACTGAAAATTGAGGAGCAAGTAAAAGTTGTTTTGGAGTTGATCAATAGAAAATTCTTAGTGCTTTAGATATCAGTCATTAGCATTTACTCTTGATGTGCAACTGATGTACTAGGAGTGGGCAGCTGAAAATTGTTACAGTGCAATACAGTTGTTATAAGACTTTCATGATATTTATCATGTTATGCAAGATGCAAAGAAATAAAACTGGTTTTAGATCCCTAAAACTTAACAGTATAAGGTTTACACAATACACTCTATTTGCAAAGTATCATATTTATGACATTATCTGTGTTCTTTATTCATCTACAGCTTATAAGTAAAGCCCTTTACACACTAACCGCAATTAATTCATGCAATTTTTTCAGACATCAGTGAATTAATTTGAGCATGTTTATAACTCACTAAAGGCGATTTTTTTGAACTGTGAAAATGCGATATTTTATTTGCCCTTTATTTGATTTTTGCGAACCACGGTTGTTTCTGCCGTTGGCATAGCAACAACCAAGGTGGCTGATCGATTGTGTCCCAGCAACTAGAACTTTTTTAATAATGCTAATAATTAGTTTTTCTTCTGCCTTGTCAGGCATGGCGTTGATATCTCCAAAAGCAGCTCAGGTGGGGCTCAAACTGGTTAAAGACATCCTAACTGTGTGCAAAAGCTCCCATAAAATTCCAGCTTCAGAACGAGCCGGTAAAACTGTCCTTGGTCTTTTTGCTGCTTTTTTTGTTGTGTTTCCACAACAAAAAGTAGCTTACCTTTTTCACCATTTACCCATTTTGTATAGACATTTTGACCGCACTATGAACAATAGGGCAGAATTCCAAATAAATTGTGTTGCACCTGGTATGTATTTGATGTGAATAAAATTGTGTCAGAATATTTAGCATCTTCACGTTGTTTATTCACATCATATTCATCGTGTAATGGCCTTAAGCCTGAATAACAGAGTGATGAATTTGGACAACGCAGCATTAAGAAGAAACTTTATTTATTTATTGATTTTACATATCAATTATTTTAAATTCCTGATCACATTTATTGTCTAGAATTGCATGTAGGTTAATGCTATACAGCAACGTGCTATATCTCCAAATTTAAAAAAAATGTCTTGTAAATATATATATTTTTTAATGACATTGGCTCCAACACACTTCAAGCACTCAAATATCAATTGTGTTTTCTTCATACTTTTCCTGCTTCTTAAAGCAGGTGTTTATCTTTGCTCAGTTCGATCTAGTTTTTAGTCTCTTCGTTTCTGGTCTGTGGAACATGAAAATAGGACTGTCATAGACAATTAATCAAACCCAATTTCACTAACATATCTTAAATTTAAAACGCACAGAATGTTGTGCGATTGAATGTAACCAATTTTCATAAATATAAACTGATACTTTATGTGGGAGAAAAGGAAAAAGATGAGATGATTGATCTGCAAGCACTGGTGCGATACATATCTCTCTCTCACACGTGTACACACACACACACACACACACACGTGCACACATCATCCATTTGTTGCTTCTGACGTGGTGGGGGCTCCCAAGTGAGTGGAGGCAATTACAGTGAGACAGCATCTCACACATACAACCCTCAATTATCCAGCTCACACACATCCAAGTATGCGCTGAAGCTTTGGGGCTCACACACACTCGCAGTTTGACTGTGTGTCACAGAATGCACATCCCTCCGCAGGCCTAATAAGGTCCACATGCACCTGGGACTGACTTGGCGATGACCTTGTTAAGGATCGAGTGTGGCTAGTCCTGGTAGAGTATTTGGTTGTGTGTATGTGTGTATACGCGTACATGTGTGTGATCCGTCATGATTCGGCGTGGTGCACATGCAATGATACATTTCCTTGAATTTATCTGTCAGAAGCAGCCAGAAGGTGTTTGAAAGCTTGTGGTGTCCTGCTGAATTGTATGTAATATTCCACACTTATGTACCTGTTGTACCACTGTTCACACTAGAGTGTATTTGCATACATATTTATTTTCTTACTCCAACATGTTTAGAGCATTAAATCAACATGTAATGTGACCAGTGACTTATAGGCTTTTCCCATAATTGCCTGAAGTTGTCAATTTAATGCCCATGAAATCAATACGTTAATATTTTATTTTTTTTCTTCCATTCGATTTAACACACTGAATCCTTCACATTAAGTCTGATTCGGGTTCTTTATTTAACACTGAGAAAACATGATGAATTCACAGAGAAAGAAGAAGTGAATAATGATGGCAAGAAAGTTGTCATTCTTTTATAGCCAATGCAAATCAAAGACTCAAGACATAGGGTAACAGCTTGTTCTGCTAAAAAATTCACAAACAGTAGAAGTTCCACTGCAGCAGCACTGTGTGTGTGTGGTGACTTTGCAGTACTGCGTCAGCTTGGAGCTCCAAGCCTTAAAACTACAACAGCAATCATGGGTTCTGGTGTGAAAGACAGAATTAGTGTTAATGTATACATTTTTAGAATTAAAACAAACTGGGAAAAATAAAAATCAAAGCAAAACAATATATATATATATATATATTATATATATATATATATATATATATATATATATATATATTGTTTTGCTTTGATTTTTATTTTTCCCCAGTTCTGGTCTGAATAGCATTTACAGGCTTTGCATACCCATTTTTAAATTAGTACATATTTTATAGAAATCAGCTAAACCGATTAGCCACTGTTTTTGTGTTTCAGCTCTGTGGTCGCTATGCAGCTCTCTATGGCTAAACAAGTGACTGAGCAAGCACTCAATTTCTTCACTTGAATGTCTATTAACAATCAAAACTATAATCAAATAAATTAATAAAAAATAGAAATAAAAAGTAACTTTGTTTAAATGTTGTATGCTTTTAAAGCCATAAAAGCCATAAGCCTCTAACTCTAAATATTGTCAGTACAGTTTTCTAGAATTCTGGTCCGGTCTGAAGGGTTTACAAAGACAAAGCTTTCAAATACTAAATAAGGAAACAAATAACAACATAACAAAAACTCAAGTATTCAAATTATTCGGGACAGCCCTAGTAGTGTTTTTGTGTTTTTTTTGTTGTTGTTGTTGTTGTTGTTGTTGGTGTTGGTGTGTGTGTGTGTGTGTGTGTGTGTTTGTTGTTGTTTTTTGTTTTTTGGCTGTGAAACACAAATTCTGTGTGATAGGGCCCTCTGGAAATGGAAGCTCCTGCATATCTGCATATTGTCGCGCTCGCGTCATCTCGATCATTTAGTGTAAAGTAGTAAAGATGGCGGTCTTGGGTCAGTCTTTTTCTCTTCTTGACGCTGCGACAAAATCAACCATGTTTAATATTATCGTAAGTTTTAAGTCTTGGCTCATGAAAATAGTGACGCGACAGGGGCGCGCGTGAGTGCTTGCGGGCGAGCGCATGCGCGCGGCGCGGTATAGATAGATAGAGAGAGAGAGAGAGAGAGAGAGAGAGAGAGAAAATATACGTGTGACTGGCTGAAATATCTGTAAAAACGCCGAATCTGCTCCACTTGAATATAATAATCATATTAACTTAAAAAAACTTTAAACTGGCTGTTTTAATATTTCAGGTTCACTGAGTGTAACAGTGATGTAAGGAAATGTGCAGATGACTTGAAGAATGGCATTACTGAAGAATCATCAATGTTTTTTCCTTTTTTATTTTTTGCTTTCTGTTACACTGTTTGTTTTTTATGGTTTAGTTCATAACACCCAATCAACAATGCTGAATCGCTGCATGTTGTATTGATGTGTAAATCTTTATATCAAATTTAAAAAAAGTAACTTCACATTTTACAGGTTAATTAAAAGATGTTGGGTGATGATCCGTCCGAGTACACAGTTCTACAGTGAACTGCTCTGAGCCCCGGATCTTTACATGCTCAGCCAGCATATCTTCCCATCTGTACCACTATAGAATGTAAGGAAATAGTGACTCTGCAAGATTCCTCGTCTTTGCAAAATCATAGTCTGTGACTAAAAACCATGACACTGTCTTTAGATGTGAGAGGGTGTCAGACTTTAGTCTTTCAAAAGTCTTCTAGTGTATGGTTAGCATTAGTTGTTGTTATAAAATTGTAACAGTGCAATTTTCTAAACCTTATAGAAACCTTATGTCATTAAGATGCATCTTAAATAGCATGCTGGTACATTAGCTTTACTATAGTACATTAGCCTGTACTTATGTTTATGTTTATTTGCATATGATTATGGTCTGCTCACATCATATCTAAAACCATGGTACAGTTTGCCATGTTGAAAATACGTTTTAGAGCAAACCTGTACCATGCAACTGTTTTCTAAAATTTACACTAAAAAAAATCTTTGCAAAAATGAATATTAATAATCCTCATTTATTGAGTTTTCTTAAATCAGTGAAAGAAACAAACATCATTTTGGTTTGTACAGTGACTGAGACAAGCTATTTAAATTAAACTTGAATGTTTTATTATTACCTATCTACATATAAGACCACTGCAACAACAGACAATAGTTTCTAATTTACTGTATATGATGTAGCTTTATTATGATGAAACTGAAGTATTTAAAAAAAAAAAGATTTTGGGTGACACATACTCCCGTTACTTTGTAGCTACAGAGTCCAGATTTTGGAATCTGTTTCAGGAGGGAAAAAGATGGATTGGCATCTCTAGCTTGAAAGCCATATCTGTTTGTGTGAGCACCACAGGGATGTTCACGAGCGCAGACTCTTTAGCCAGAGGACTGTGGGAACAAGTGAGGCTCTGGGTCTCGATTTGGTGCAGGAGAGTTGACAGCTGGGGGCATGGGCAGGCGAGGAGGGCAGAGGTTAACACAATAAGTGTTCCATCACATAACAATAAGAGCTGACAGCTCTGCTCGTATTCATCCCTTCTGTTATCTGTTTGAGCATCAGGCATGCAGTAACAAATGGCATTTAAAATACAATGATACAGAAAAATACAATTACTTAAAAATATTGAGGAATGTGTTACCTCTTGGTATATCTCCTATGGTGTCTAATTAAGGTTGCAATGATACCAGAATTTTGACTTCAATACCAAGTGTAATATCACAAACCCAATACCTAAATGATACAAGGCAAAATATTTTAAAACACTGTAACTGTCTGAACACTCACTGTTCATTGAATTGAATCGAAAATTTTTATTGCCACAGCTTAATTTTGGGAGTTCAAATGTAATATTAAGTAATTTAGATAAGTATAGTACTGTCCTCAAAGAGAGTAAGTTCGTTTTGAATCACTGCAACAGGATAAAAAGCAGAGAATGCGCATTAGATTTTTAGATTAGACATTAGATTAGTTTTGATGTTTTTATCTAGTTAGAAATATCACAAAAGTCAAAAGTTTATGTGGGTTTTTTTCTTGTGTGAATGAGAGTTGTTGTCATGTACCCAGTTTGCAATACAACTATCACAGGCTTTAGGCACAAAATGCCACATGTTATTTATTAAACTACATAGAATCAACTTATTTTAATAAAGTACAAAATTAAAAGTTAGTTCTAAATTAAATCAAAGTTTGTTTTTTTTTTATAAGAAAAACATGATTGGGTGTGCTGTCACAGGTGATGGTGTATCCTAATAACATCCTTTCTGAGCGCACTCAGATTAACCTGGACATATCTAGTCTACATGTTTAAGCTACTCTCGCTCTCTAACAGTGCAGTTTGAGGCCTGTGTCCTGCCCTCTCTGCTGCCTCTATCGAAATGTATGGTCTTGACATTTCCAGCACGCTAGCCGCTAACCCTTTGGGTTCCACACACTGTTATTAGTGTTGTCCAAATCACAGTGCTGTCCTCCAGCGGTGTCCAACCTGTGCCGCCATATATGAGCTCTGGGGTGTGCTGGCAACACTGTTGTAGAGAAATAGACTCACAACCAGCT